CTCTTCTAAAGTTGAGTTGACCTGCATTGCTTGTGGTCCTTTCTTTCCTTGTCTTTTCATACTGCTCGCGTTTCTTTCTGCTTGGTGAAACTGTTGTGTTTTTGAAATTTTCCCCCTATATATTTATATTGCTCTTGTATAGTTGAAAAGTCTCCCTTGCAGGGGCGGGCGGCGGCTGTGCTCCTCCTCCAATTGGGGTGATCTGTCTACCATGGTGACGGGCCGCTGGGTCTGTTCTGCCAGTCGGTCACAGGTCTGCCTACCTTGCAGGCGTGGGCGGCGGCTCTGCTCTGCCCCTCCTCCAATTGGTGTGATGTGTCTACCACACCCGCGGACCCCTGGGCCTGTTCTGCTGGTTGGTCGAAGGTCTGCCTACCTTGCAGGCGTGGGCGGAGGCTCTGCTCTGCCCTTACTCCAGTTGGGGTGACGTGACTACCACGCGAGCGGGCCGCTGGGCCTGTTCCTCCGGTCGGTCGCAAGTCTGCCTACCTTGCGGGCACGGGCGGCGGCTCTGCTCTGCCCCTACTCCAAATGGGGTGACGTGTCTGCCGGGCTGGCAGGCCGCTGGGCCTGTTCTGCCAGTCTGTCACAGGCCTGCCTACCTTGTGGGCGCGGGCAGCGGCTCTGCTCTGCCCCTACTCCAATTGGGGTGACGTGACTACCACGCCGTCGGGTCGCTGGGCCTGTTCCGGGCGTGGGCGAAGGCTCTGCTCTGCCCCTACTCCAATTGGGGTGACGTGTCTACCACACCGGCGGGCCGGGCCTGATCCGCCGGTCGGTCGCAGGTCTGCCTACCTTGCAGGCGCGGGCGGCGGCTCTGCTGTAGTGTTTGGTATATTAATGTATATAATAGGAAAAATAGAAACAATCCACCTTTTCATTCATGGAAGAAATTTTAAATAAATCATGCTATCAATATACTTGAATATGCAACTATTAAAATGGTATTTACAGGAGGGTTTAGTAACAAGGGAAATTTTTATGTTAAATATGAAATGCAAGAAATAGGATATGACTTTTTTTAAGATTAGAAGACCAGAAATAAATATGACCAAATACTGATAGACATTGTGTCTGGATGATAGAGATTTATGGAGAATTTTGTCTTTATGTTTTGGTACTTGTTGGATTTTCTGTTATTCAAAAATTTAATTCTTCAGGAAGAGGAATTTGACTTTTCATTTCTTATCTCTATGTGGAACAGTAATCTTCCCACAAGAAATTCTCAGAGTCTTCCCTGCTGGAGACTGTTTCATTTTTGCTTTTATCTCCACCCTGTGTTCTGTTTCCAGGACAACTCCTGGTACAAGAGATGGTACTGGGAAAGTATCTACTCCTCTTCTCTGCTGTCACCCCTGCCTCACCCCCTGCAAAAGCAATGAAGTTAGCCAACCCTCACCATTCCCATCCCTGGGCACAGATTCACTAAGTGTTTGAAGAAAGAGTTTCAACTCATTTTCTCTTCTCCTTTCAACTCTGAACTGATCAAAATGTTATTTATTCTAAGTGTGACAATCCTTTAGTTTTAGGTCTTGAATATATGTGAGATAATTTTCATGAATTTAAAGTTTCATCCTCTCAAATTCTGGATGAAGCTTTAATCCCAATAATTTTAAAACTAGACCTTTTCCAGATTTAAAAATATAAGCATGCAAACCATACAAAAAATTTTCAAGTTAAACTGGAGAGGTTACCTTAATATGGAATGAAGGACTTGGGTTTTGCCCATTTTCATAAATATCTTGAGGGTTAATTTGTTTTAGTCAGCTTTACTCAATGTGACCAAAAGACTTGACAAGAATGATTTAGAGGAATTATTTTGGCTCATAGTTCCAAAGCTTTAGTCCGTGGTCAGCTAATGCCATTGCTCTGGGCCTGAAGTGAGGCAGAACATCTTGGTGACAGGCATGGCAGAAGGAAGTAGTTCAGGCATGGCAATCAGGAAGCAGAGAGTGAGCTCCATTCATCAGGGATAACATATAAAACCCAATTATGTCCCCAGTGACCTATTTTCTTCAACCACACCCTACCAGCCTACAATTAACCCCAGTTAGTTCATAAAAGTGAATTAATCCACTTATAATATTTACTCTCATGATCTAATAATTTCACCTCTGAACATTCTTTTTTTAAAAATTTTGTAGTTGTCGATGGACAGCATGCATATTTATTTTATTTGTTTATTTTTATGGGGTGCTAAGATCAAACCCAGTACCTCACACTTGCTAGGCAAGCCCTCTGCCACTAAGCTACAACCCTGAACATTCTTGCATTGTCTCACACATGAGCTTTTGGGGAACACCTTATATCTAAACCAAGTTAAACCCAGAATTGAGAAGTTTTAGTGATTTAAGTAGAGGTTAACTATATGCAGTTATCTCCAATCTGCAAACAGTAACCTACACACACACACAAAAAAAACTGTCACCCTTACCTCTTCTACCATCAAAGTCATTGCCAGGGGGATCAAAAGGGAAAGATGAGAAGCTTTGCAAAGCTTAGGATAGCTGACTCCTAAGCAAGCCGATATCCATTCAGGCAGTTGACCTGAACAGTTTCTCCCCCAAAATCCCCAAGTCTAACATTTCTTAACATTAGCAAGTAGCCCTTTAAAGAATTCAAACACCTCTGGATCAGTCTGATACTGCTATATTTGTGTGAGTTAGTGCAAGTGAAATCACTTTTTTCCTGAAAGTTGTGCAGTAAAGGAAGGAACATTCTATTATGGTAAAGAAAAGAGCATGTGATTTGTTGAGTAAAGAAAAGACCTGGACAGAGTAGGGGAATATATTTTTTTGTATGTTTATGATTAGCAAATCACTGTAGAGTAAGTTGTGAGTGAAGAAAGGAGAGTTTACAAAGATGAATATGGTTTATCCTGGATTCCAGTGTGGGCCTGTGATTACATGTGGGGAAGACACTAAAAGCAGTGCACATGGTAAACTAAAGTGACCAGAGGTGCATTGGAGGTAGCAGCAGCCAGTCTGTAGGATTCACATTGGGAAGCGGGGAATCATGGACCCACTTTTCATGTCATGCCAGGGAGAACAGGCTTGATGCCTAGAGGCCTCTTGTGCTCATCCCTGTCTGTGCTCACAAGTCTGGAGAAAGAGGGTGGGAAACAGCAGAGGTGTGCTGAATGGAAAGGGAAGATCCTGAAGATTAACTCTATTTGAATTTTTTTCCCATTAAAATTGAGATATGTACAAGAGGATGGAGGAAATATTCTTTCTCTTCTTTGCTTCTCAGTCACATAGTCGCCTGCCCCAGGACCTAGAGTGCAAGCAATTTAACTGATCACACTTAAACTTTGGGAAATGTGTTCAAAATCTCAGTCACTAATGTGGAGTCAAACTTTTGGCACACAACTTGTCCATAGTATGAAAGTTACTCAGGCAGAATGGAATTTTTAAACTGCTATTAAAGCTAAAAGCCATCGTAAGTATAAGATATTATTACTATGATATTCTAATTGTTTTTTTCTTTATAGAGGTACAACGCAAAGAGAGTAATCCTGACGGTAAAGCCAGAATCTGGACTAAATCCATTAACAAGATAAATCCAAGTAGCATCCAAAGTATGCTGGGTGGGGTTCACAGTGGCTACATCACTGACACACCCAGATAGTACTGAGCTAAAGAGCTGACACGTGACTCAGTTGGAGGACTCCCTTTGCAACAGCTACTAGAAAAGTCACAGTATACAACCCAAGAACATTTTCTCTTTAAAAGCACAGCAGTGGCTGTGGAGATCAGTGCATTAGCTTACTTCCCAGATTAAAAACACTTCCTGCAAAAGTGTGCTAGCCTCTTCAATTAATTTTCTGAGAGGTATGTGAAAGTACCAGTTTCTTTTTTTCTTTTTTCTTTAATTTGTTATTTTTAGATACACATGACAGTAGAGTGTATTTTGATATTTTGTACACACATGGAATATAACTTCTGATTCTTGTAATTGTACATGATGTGGAGTTACACTGGTCGTATATTCATATATGAACATAGGAAAGTAATGTCTGATTCATTCTATTTCTTTCCTCTTCCTATACCCCCTTCCTTTGCTTCATTCCCCTTTGTCTAAACCAATGAACTTCTCTACTTCCCTTTGGGCCCCCTTATTGTGTGTTAGCATTTGCATATCAGAGAGAACATTTGACCTTTGGTTTTTTGGGATTGGTTTATTTCACTTAGCATGATAGTCTCCAGTTCCATCCATTTACTGGCAAATGCCATAATTTCATTCTTCTTTATGGTTGAGTAATATCCCATTATGTGTATATATTACATTTTTTATTCCTTCATCTGTTGAAAGGCACCTAGGTTGACTCTATAGCTCAGTTATTGTGAATTGAGCTACTATAAACATTGATGTGGTTGTGTCAAAAAATACCAGTTTCTGTCAAAAAAAAAAACTATACTTTTTAAAGACTTTAAACTCTGCAGAAAGGACTGTCAAATAAAAGGCTTTATTTTTTCAGTTTAGAAGAGAGGATCCTGATAATGCCTTAGGTTTCTGTAGTGTTATCAGATTTCTTCTGATTTTAGGCATTCTTAGGATTTTTCTTCACAATAACCCTATAAATAGGTGGAGAAGATAGTTATCTGCATTTCTCAGAAGATGAAACCAYGGCCAAGAATGGGACTAAAAGATGTCCTGAAGTCACAGAGCTGACTGGTGTGAGCCCACAGCTCACTGGACTCTCATCTACAAGGAAGACCTTCAGAAGTGTGGGGAATTAGCTCCTCATCCCCCAGGCCTGGTTCTTCACTACATATCTACACCTACTCCACGCTTGTGGGCATCATGAGAGTCTTTCCTGCAAGATCTGGCCCTACTCATATAATTGGTCCCACTGACTTTATCACAGGAGTAGAAATATCTCCAGAGAAGGGTCTGAGGTATTCCCAGAGGAGAGGGGAGAACTCAAGACCATTGGGGTTCTTGGTATATGTGATGAAAAGAATTTCAGCACTTGTCGGTCAAACACAGAGGTTTATTTAGGAAGTAAACACACATTCAAGGGAGAATTCAGGCAGTCTTAAGAGTGAGAAGCCTCTCCTTGGGTTGGGGATCTAGTATTTACAGGGAGTCTGAAATTAGGAGCAAGACTGGAGGTAGAACTAGGGTAGACCCAGACAATTGCACACCAATTTCCCCTGCACTCTCATGTTTCCCTTATTTAACAAGGGCATGGGCCAAGGGCATGTCACTCAGGATTTCTGTGTCTCAGTGGTTCATGGCAATTTCCTTTGAGATTCAGTACAACTTTCTTTCCTGTATTCCTAGACTTGACCATGGTCAGGCCACTTGTCTAGTACTTTGTAGCTCATGTTTACTATACTTTCCTCTGGTCTTGAATGTGTTAATCAGCTTTCTATCACGGTAATGAAATGCCTGAGTTAATTTATGAAAAGAAAATAGTGATTTCTGGCTTACACTTCTGGAGGTTCCAGTCCCTGAATGAGTGGTCCTATTTCTTTGAGCTTCTGATGAGGCAGCACAGCATGCTGTGAGTGCATGGTGGAACAAAACTGCTAACTTTGTTAGCCATGGAACTGAAGAGAAAGAACACGAAGAGACCAGGGTCCCATAATCTCTTTCAAGGGCACATTTCCCATGACCTAAAGATCTTCCCCTGGGCCCCACCTCTTAAAGGTTCCACCACCTCCCACTAGTGCCACCCTGTGAAGCAAGCTTTTAGCTTTTGAAGAACACCCACTCAAAGGTACTGGACTTTCCTAGCTAGATATCAGAGACTCAGGTATTACCTGGCAAACCTGCATCTTGCACTTTACTTTTAAAAACTGCTAGCAATTCTGCCTGCAGGCTCAAAAGCTCTAGAGCATTATCTGCATATTTCTGGAATCCCAAATATGTATCTTACCTAACAAAATATTTTCACAGAAGAAGCAAAGTGAGTTTCTCCAAAATTAGAAATATAAATGCTATAGCCCTGATGCATAGGATCTGCATACCTGCAAAACGGAAATGCTTGCTGAGAATGATGACCTCTATAGCCATATTGGGAGAAATCAATGCCTAGAATTCATTAGAACTTGCATCATTCTCTCAGAAAAAATGGAGAGCTATTCAAACCAACTCTCCATAGCCTCAAGGTCATTTCCAATTTAGGATTACTCAGCAAGTTCCCTAAGCAGTCCCAGTGCAAGCATGGCCATTAGGCTTGGATATTGCTCTTGTTCTTGAAAGACCAATGAAAGGGCCCCTGCAAGAATGCAGTATCTTCTGTTTGGAGATCAACATTTTACATTTGCAGGGTTTGGGCCCTCTAGGAACACCTGATTTGGCAGAGGCACACTTTAAGCTATCTCTTTTTTTAAAAAAAATATTTTTTAGTTGTCAATAGACCTTCATTTATTTATATGTGGTGCTGAGGATCGAACCCAGTGCCTCGCACATGCTAGGCAAGGACTCTATCATTGAACCACAACCCCAGCCCATATCTCTTGACCAGACATAAGAAATACTCCAAAAGTGTGAAGATAGGACAAACAATCCCCATGATCTACCTTGCTATGCAAACTTCTTTTTGACAGATAAGATGTCCTCACTTCTTCCGACAGCCCAGATCTTCAACAGATCATGGAGTTGACAAACTACTCCTGGTAATACATCACCCATTTTTCTACTCTGGCTATCCCAGTGATAAAGCCCAGGCAAGAAAGAGAAGATTATGTGATTTCTTCTGCCCTGCTTTTACTCTGCTATGATCCCAAATGGCTGTCACTTTGAAACAAATTTTGGTTAGCTCTTGGGCTGGGGATCCAGTATTTACAGAGACTCAAACACAGGAGCCCACATGTGCAAGTCCTGAAGCTACTTCTGTCCCAGAACAACCACTCTGGGAGTACTGGCCATCAGGGCTGCCTACCTTTAAAGCATGGAAGCAACATGTGGAGTGGAAGGCTTCTAGGTGGATGCAGCTTGACTGCTGTCACTTATTGCTACTGGGGTAAAACCAGAATAGTAGTGATAGCCATTATTTATTGAGCATTTGCCTTGTGTAATCTTTGTGCTATGCTAATATTTCATATATTTGAACTCATTTAGTCATGATAGCTTTCTGAAGTGGGCTCTGCTTTCATCCCCAAATATACTCAGGATAAGTAGCATGCCCATATCACCTAACAGCTTGTTAGGTGACAAAGCTTGAATCAAATCTAGTATATCTGGCAGCAGGGTCTAAGATCTCAGCTACAGTGAGAGACGCTCTCAGCTTCTCTCTGAACTCAGAGACCAGTTGGTAACCCATCTTTCAACAGACTTGACTTCCACACATCTGCTTAATTCTCAGCTTAACTACTGAGCTAGTGTGCTGACAAACAAGCCAGAATTCTAGAGAACTTGGAAATCATAGTCCCAACATACCTACCGCTAAAGAACACTATAAACAGGAGCAGTCTAACAAAGAGCTGTCCACACATGGCCCCCAAGGATGTGGAATGCAGAGGCATTGACAGAATGACCTGATGGGTCTTCCAGATAGGGGAGTCCCAACTACAAAGCCTCTGATATACCCTGATACTGCTGGTGAACCAGGGTGGCCCTTGAAGTTCTAAGAAGGGTCTCCAAAGCCTCCTTGAAATACTTTTCTGGTCATTTCAAGCCCAATAGCATTCAACTTACCAGCTCTTAAGCCACTCATCCGCACAATAAACAAATCTAGCCTGACCAGTGGTTAACACCTCACTGTAATCCCCAAATGCTATGCAACACCATTGTCATAGGATATGCCATAGACTTGTCCCGCTGTCATGACCAGTCACTTTGGTTATAGTGGATTCCAACATTGAATTGGAACATTTTTTGACCCCTTTATCAGCTTACTGGCACCATGTTAATATAAATCCCAAAGAAAAACTGTTAACCAGACATGTCACAGTTTTGGATTGGATTTCCAGCTTTTCTTTCATTTATTTCAGGGTCAGTAACCAGTAAGAATGCAGCACCTGGGTCTCAAAAGAGAAGACCAGCTGCTTGGCCAGCACTGTCAGCTCACCTACTCTCTGAAGAATCTGTGCCCACATATGATCCTTAAGAACAGGAACTGGGGAGACTTTCCTTTTAATGAAATATGAATATAGAGGCAGTTTTTGAAAGAGAACCAAATAGTGAGGCACTCGGGTTCCCACCATATCTGCATCAACAACATAGAAATTCCCATTACAGATAACATTGTACTAATATTATTTGAGYAATATTAGTAACATTTTGTAATGTTACTGATTTTTTAAATTTATAGAAAACTTGCAATACACTTAAGTTTGCCTTCTTATTTTGTTGGCTTATTTTTCTATAGATATGCATTTCTAATTGTGTAAGGCAAATTAGTGGGAAATAAGACTTGTATTATAGGAATGTATATTAAGAAATGTCTACGTAGGGAAATAGTTCTGAGGACATGTATAGATAATACATTATATCTGCTTAAAGAAATAAACAATCTGGTAAATTCTATACTGAAAATACATTACTCTCAGCCCCTATTTAGAATGATTCTTCCTCTGATTTGAAGCAATATATATATATCAGATAAATGTTATCCTTTTACTTATTTTTATTTTCGAAAGAACCTCCAAGTAATTTTAAAAATTCTTTAATTGTGTATAAATTTATATCCAATCTGTGCATCTCTTTTCTTTGCATTCATTCAGAAACATTTAGGTGTCACTAAGGTGCAACGATCAGAGTTAGGCTCAAGGAATATGGAGTGGAGCCAAAAGACTGAGGGTGGTGGGTAAAGGGTGTTAGATGCCCCTTTGAAGAGCCAGTAGTAGAGCCATAGAGAAGCTAACACTTTAGGTCCAGGGTTACAGCTGAGTGTAGCAAGCATGGGGATGGGGCTCAGACAAAGGGCTGCAGGAGCTGCAAGACCTTGCCAAAGGGGCCAGAGGAAAAAGGACATTTGATCTAAATCTTCAGATATCAAAATTGACAAACTTATTTCCAAATTATCATGTTGACCAAAGCTCTTTCCCTTACCTACTCTGCTTAGATGACTCGCCTAAACCTGTTAGATGCCTCCTGTACTGACTTCTCACTTATGTGGCTGCATTGCAATGCCATGCATTCAAAAATCATTCCATGTGGCAGTGGAAGAAAGGAATTGAGGACTGAATGCCTCACTGAGATGTGGCTTTGAATAGCAGGCCTCTTCACAGCTGCATTATCCTTTGTGCACCCACCCCTATAACATGGGAGAGTCTTTCTTCTTGGGATTTAGTGGCTCAACGGGTTTGGAAGAATTTGGGAAGGGGATGCTCCCTTGAGTTCTATTGCTAGGAGAAGACAGGAAATTTAGCAGGTCAAAAGGCAAAGGTAAAACTATAGTGGAAGGTTTCTCTGTGGACAAAGACTGAAGGGTGTGGAGGTATCGAAGCTGAACAGCAGCTGGGGTTCCTGACAGAATCTCAGCAGCCATCCTCAGGGACTCAGAAGCAGCCTTTTCCCCTTCCGCAGCAATCATCTAGAAAACAAATGTGGAAAACACAAAGTGATTGTGCTTCTTGGTTCCAAGAGGGCTGTCAGTGGGACCCAGTGTGGCAGGCACTGTTCACAGGAGAACAGATTCAGCTGCTTTCTAAAGACTGCTGAGCTAGGGAAGACCCATTAAACTACTAAAATGTAACGTGAACTTGTTATAGACCATGAAAAGTATAAACAGAGTGTTAGGGGAGTTCTTGTCTGGTGGGCTTGAAAAGATTAGTAGGAATTTGCCATACAGAAGAAAAATTGGCCAGCTTTCCAGGCAGAGGCATGGGATTACAAAAAGGGTAACTTTCAATTTGGCCAAAATAAAGGACAAGCATTTCAGAAGAAGAGACACCAAGCTCATCAGCCAAATGCCACCTGAAAGCAGGCAGACAGGACTATGCTCAAGGATCTAGAAGCAACTCTGCCCAGAGGACACTTTTCTCCCCTTCCCCCTCCTCCCCATTCCTCTCAGGTCCAGTTATTAATCCTCTTATGCAGTTTGGGCTTTCCTTCACCTAATCCCTGTTCTTTGAAAGAAATCTGCCTCACTTTCCTCCACCTCAATTTGAGGAAGCTGTGGCAGCCAGATCTTTTCAGCTCCCTGGCTGCTGAGAAGAGGTCATGAGCAGCACAGCCTTTTCTTGGCTCCAGCAGGGAGGGAACTGGGCTCTGACCATGATTGTGCCTTCATGCAGAGCTCTGGTTATAGGCCTGGGATAGCCTAATGCCATTAACCTAGAGAAGATATGTAACTGAGATGCTAGCACAAGAAAATAGGGATGATGAGGGAGGAGCAAGCATGAAAGCAAGACTCAGGAAGAAGACAGGCACAGTTAGCAGCCGCTTTGGTGAGAGGGAGGGGTGCAGCCTGATTGAACTCATGGGTACTCAATCACTGAGCCACACACCAGCTCTATTTTGTATTTATTTAGAGATAGGGTCTCATTGAGTTGCTAGTACCTCACCATTGTTGAGGCCAGCTTTAAACTTGTGCTTCTCCTGCCTCAAACTCCCAAGCCACTAGGATTACAGGCATGTGCCACCGTGCCTGGCTACTAACACACTCTTAGAGCAATTTAAATAGCATGTCGGGAACCAAACCAGATTCTACTGGGCGTGGATGAAGGGAAGCATGGAAAGAAAGGGGAAATGCTCCTTGCCATGGTTCCTGCTCTGGGTTCTCTGTGCTCCTGGAAGAGCAGCCTTGGTGGGGGGACACTGTGCTCAATGCTGGCTCACCCGCACTTTGGCCTGTCTTTGCGCTTCTGCCTCCACAGCCAGCGAGTGCTGAAGCCCAGCTGGCAGCCGTACATCCTTACTGCAAAAGAAAGAAGGTGAGCGTGTAGATGTGCAGCCTTGGCCAGACTTTTCCTCAGGTTTGCACTCTCTCTACAGGAGAGCAAATGCTGACAACAGTGTGCTGTCCCCAGAGCCCTAAGGTGGCAGGGAGGTGGAGAGAGCACATCCCATGCGGTGCCTCCAGTGTAGGTGTGGAGCACTAGTGTGGCTGCAGAGGGACTACAATGTCCTCCTCTTAAACATTTTGTGTTCCTAGGTTGTAATCATTTTTCCCACTTAAGATTTAATCTAACCACCAGTGGTTAAATTTGAATATGGGGGGCTGGGGATGTGGCTCAAGTGGTAGCGTGCTCGCCTGGCATGCGTGGGGCGCTGGGTTGGATCCTCGGCACCACATAAAAAATAAAATAAAGATGTTGTGTTGGCGGAGAACTAAAAAATAAATATTAAAAAAATTTGAATATGAAATACAGCCTTGAAGAGCTAAAAAATTAATAACGAAGATAAGGGGCATTCATCTAAGTTTATAAAAGAGAAAAAATTGATTTTGAAATGAGGAGGATTGATTAAATAAGAACAATCTTACTGTATCACATCAAAGATACAAAAGTATCTCTTTATCCCAATGATAACTGAAAAATTCATATATGGAACCATTGAGCAGTTTCTCAAAAGATTTATAAAGTTAGCATATAACCAGTAATGCTATTTCTAAGTATATAGCCAAGAGAACTAAAAACATATTCACACAAAAACTTCCAAATGAAAGTTTATTGTGGGGGCTGGGGATGTGGCTCAAGTGGTAACGTGCTCGCCTGGCATGTGCAGGGCGCTGGGTTCGATCCTCAGCACCACATAAAAATTAAAAAAATAAATATGTTGAAAAAAAAAAAAGAAAGTTCATTGTGGCGTTTTCCCTAATAGCCAAAAAGTGGCTGATGGATGGATAAACAAAATTTTGTATAGCTAGACAATGGAATTTTATTTGGCTATAAAAGAAATGAAGAACTGATACATACTACACCATGGATGAACCTTGAAAACATGCTAAATTAAAAGAAACTAGACACAAAAGGCTCAACATATGATTCCATTTATGTAAAATGTTCAGAATAGGCATGTCCACTGAAACAAAAACTAAATTAGTGGTTGCCAGGGGATGAGGAGCGGGGAGGAATGAGGAGTTCCTGCTTAATAAGAACTGGCTTTCTTTGGGGGTGATGAAAATGTCCTGAAATTAGATCAAAGGGACATCTGTAGGACTTTGTAAATGTCCTAAAACCACTGAGCTGCACTTTGAAATGGCTAAAAGGGTAAATTTTATCTTTTAAAAAAGATTTTTTTTTAATGCATAGCAAAAAAACCCCATGAGACTAATTTGCCCAAATGTCATAGTGGTTGTATTTTGGCTGCAAGATGTTACATAATTTTCCCTCTTTCTCTCTAAACTTATACTAGTATGGCTATATTACTCAAAATAATTTTTCAAGGAAAATTTTTAAATAAAACCAAAGTATTTCCTTTTATCATATTGTTTATCATGATCATTTTCCTACCCACATTTCTATTCTCTCCACTTTGATTCCCCAAATACAGGTCACTGAATCCAAGGCAACCTGTGGAGGGAAAAAGATGAAAGGTCAGCAAGAGCCTGCAGGTAAGAGCAGGGCACACCTGTGCCCCGATGGCTGTTGTTCTGAACAGAGAGAGCCCATTTCCTTTGAAAGGATGGTACTGGGCCACTTTGTTTCATTAAATTCCGCAGTATCTGGCATGGGGCAATTTGACTTGGACAGTGCCACTCAATAAATATTTGTGGAACTAAAGATGGCATGGTAGGCTGAATAGTGGCCCTAAGGATGTGCATGTCCTAGTCCCTACAACATCTCACTGTTACCAAGAGGGACTTTGCAGAGGTGATTAAATCAAAGGTCCTGGAGATGGGGAGATTATGCTAGGTTATTCATCTCAGCCTGAAATGTAATCATATGTGTCCTTGTAAGAGGGAGGCAGAGGGAGATCTGATACAAAGAAGTTGATGTGACCAGGGAAGCAGTTTGGAGTGGTGCATTTTGAAGATGAAGGAAGGAGAGGAAGGGGATGAGGAACATAGGTAGCCTTAAATGTTGAAAGGGCAGGAAACAGGTTCTCCTCGAAGCATCTCCAGACAGAATCAGCCCTGCTGACATCTCAGCTTGAGCTCAATGAAACTGATTTCAGACTCTGGTCTTTAGAAATGTAAGAGAATAAGTGCATGTTGTTTTAGCTACCAAATTTGTGGTAATTTGTTACAGAAGCAAAAGAAAAGCAACACAAATGGTATATTTGTTCAATTTGTTTTAAAATGTCTTTATTATTTTCTACTTAGTCTCCCTGCCAAGTGGTTGTCATTGATAGGGCACTCTGTATTCCTCACTGCTGGGAGACATCAATGTCCTCCTGCTTCCCAGTCTCCCCTGCCCTCCACAGTTGAAGCTAGAAACAGGAGGGGGAAGAAAAGCAATTTGGATTGTAGAAAGGAAGGGTAGGACACAGAGCCCTCCATGTTGGCCTGTTTATCTTTTAAATTACACAATGTCTGATTTTATGGAAAGCAACACACCTGTCTTTTTCTTTGGCCTTCATTTTCCAGGCAGAGATATTCTTTCACTTATTTGAACAGTCTATGTGTGTAACACCCTTTGGACAAATCTTATTACACTTTTGTTATAAATGGGTGTGTTTCCATCTATGGCTTTAAAACACAATTTTTACATTTTACTCTCCAGTTATCAGGCATTGTCTGAGAATATAATATAGCCATTAGCAAAGAGACCTCCCCTAAATTCTGTTTTGTTTTTCTGTATTGGGGATTGAACCCAGGACCTAAGTAGGTTCCAGTGTTAGATTCAGTGGGGGAAGGACGGCAAGAGCTGAGGCTGTAACAGTTGTGTCCCTTCTTCATTCACCCCCCAAAACGTCTGCTGTGTGACAAGCCCCATGCCAGGTCTGAGGCAAAAGGATGAATAAAATATGGCACCTGCCATTATGGAATTCATAATCTGGGAAGACAAATGCATGGACACATAAATAAACTCAGCATAATAAGAGCAAGCTTGAATGTCAAGAGTCTGGACTCACACTACCCTTCAGAGGAGAGGGGTGAATAAGGGGAGGCTGAAGGATCAGTTGGGGGACCATGTCAAGTGGCTTCTAAAATCCAGAGCAGCAACTCCCGAGTGTCCCTCTTCTTTTTCTTTTTCCAGGTTCTCTTATTTTCAGACTTCCCTTTTCCATCAGGATGCAAATCCCAGGTTTGTTTGTTTGTTTTGTTTTATTGTTGCTTTTTCTTTTCTTTTGTGGAACTGGAGATTAAACCCAGGGTTTGGCAAATGTGAGGCAAGCACTTTGACAATCCCAGTTTTATCAGTAACAAGTTGGACAAGTCACAGACATTTGTACCCTGCATTTTTTTTTTCAGATTAGTGACTGCTCAGTTTCCATAAAGCACAATCATCAATGCCTTTGATTCTTAGGGTCTTCCTATTTGAGGTCCTCCTTCTAACTAGGTCTGATTTGCAACCCCCTAATCCAATTCTGGGCCTGGCTGCCCCTATGGCTTGGATGACAGACTCAGTGGTAACTGCCACCTAGCTGGCCAGCTGCCTGGAATCCTGCTTCATTCTTGCTTGTCTTCTTAGTACCTCTTGCCAACTCGTCTTGGTAAGAATCAAGGGCGTCCACCATGGCCATGAATAAGATTCCTGTTTGCTACCTGTGGGCCAGATGAGGCTGTTTGGGAGGCAGCTTTTACTCTATTCTTCCCTCTGCTAATTCTAAATCAATTAAATCTAGACAGTTGATTGGGTAATTAATCATGATAGGGTAGGAGACCTTCCCTCTTCCCTCTGAAAGTACATAGCATCATTTCATTTTGTGCACACTGTGCTTGTTTCCTCAGCTAGGCAGGAAGCTTCGAGGAATCATGTCTTATCCTTTCTGTATACCACAACCTCTCCCATCCATCTCTACCAGCGCTGCCAGCAGCCTCTCCCAACACTTGGTACTATGTGAGAACTTCGCAATGAACTTAAAGTCACTGGGTAGCTTTTGGGGAAGAGTTGAGAGCAAACTGTTCACCAGGACTGGTGATTATAATTGATTCAGGTCACTTTGGCAACTTCCTAATTAGCTATAAGCTCCTTAGGGATGGCAACTTGAAGAGATTCAAGTGTGGCACATGGAAGATTTAATAAGTGGCCAGTGAACAGATGATTAAAAGATATAGTTTAGAGCTGGGATTGTGGCTCAGTGGTAGAGTGCTTGCCTAGCATGCATGAGGCACTGGGTTCGATCCTCAGCACCACTTAAAAATAAAAAATAAAGATATTGTGTCCACCTAAAACTAAAAAAATAAATATTAAAAAATATACATTTAATATACTCAATATTAAACTTAGTAAGTACCTTTACATCTTGAGCAATGCTCTTCCTCTCTAGAAGAATTTCAGTGAGGGATCGGTGTGCCAGAAGACGCTTCATGGTGGTTTGCACAAGGAACTGGACAGCCTTAGACACATGAGCCAGGCTGCTTAGGAGAAGAGAGGCATTTTCCATTCGGTAGTAGCAGATGGCATCTATCTCCATTATAAACATGTCTTTGGTTACAACCTAGGGAGAAAAACAGTTTGGATGACAGACTCGATCCGTGGGCTCTTTTCCTATGTGGAGAGAACTAAGTGTATCTAAAGTGAATTTTCTCAGAGTAAAATTATACCAAGAAAAAAAACCCAGCTGAATTATCTTTTATTCAAAATATATATGGTTTTGAAAATTATGGAGTTTTTTTATTAAATAAATAAAAGAACTCACGATTTAAAGGAATTCTGTTGTAAATCCTTTTGTAAAGAAAATCAGGAATAATTTTCTTATTTGAAAACACTCAATTGTTTTTATAGGTCTTTCTAAACTGATGCAAACAAATCTAATAACAGAGAGGCATGTTCTAGGACATAAGTGCTGTGAGCTGTAACGTGGTGCTTGCTGGAGTGTTCCCTAGAGGGCAATTTGGTGATGCCCATTAGTCCCCACCAAAAGCCTTAAAAGGGGGAGGGAGTGGAAGGGAGGGGCCATAGGGGTAGGAAAGATGGTGGAATGTGATGGTCATCATTACCCTAAGTACACGTATGAAGACATGAAGGCTGTGACTCTACTTTGTGTACAACTAGAGATAAGAAAACTTGTCCTCTATATGTGTAATATGAATCCTAATGCATTCTGTTGTTATATATAACAGATTAAAATTTAAAAAATAAACACAGCTTTAACAGTAAAAAAAGCCTTAAAAGGTGCAAGTTCTCAACATTTGCATTTTTAGAAAACATTTATCAAAAGGACATATTTTAAATATTTAGCTGTAAGAATTGTTACTTATACTATTACTTATTGAAATAAAACACTGGAAACAATTTATCATCAACAAGAGGAAATTGGTTGAGTAAACTGTGGTATGGCCACACAATGAAATGTTATGTGTCCATTTAAAATAAAGGGCTAGGAGCTGGGGTTGTGGCTCAGCAGTGGAGCACTTGCCTTGCACATGGGAGGCACTGGGATTGATCCTCAGCACCACATTAAACAAAATAAAGGTATTGTGTCCATCTACAATTAAATATATGTATGTATATGTATATATATATGTGTGTGTGTGTGTATAATCACACATACACACACATATAAAATAAAATAAAGGGCTAGAAGCATAGCTAATATATGAAAAGATGCTTCTATATTGTTGGGTAAAAAGGAGCATGTTATAAAAATCTTACATAGTGTGATATCTATATATACACCTATCTGTGAATATAACCACATACATAGAAAAGTTTGAAAGGATATACTCCAAAATATCAACAGTTGTCTAAGGATTAGGGGTAAGTACAGGTTTCAAATGTCTTTGTTGTGTTAAAATACATGTAACTTTCCATCTTTAAGCATATACTTCTGTGGTATTAAATGCAATCACAATGTTGTGCAACCATCACCACCAGTAACCTGCACTATTCTTTTCACCTTGTAAAAGTGAAACTCTATGCCCATTGACAACATCTCCACACTTTCCCCTCCCTCTTGTTCCTGACAATCACCTTTGTACTATATCTCTATCATTTTGATTACTCTAAATACCTAGAATCATACAGTATTTGTTTTTTGTGATTGCTTATTTCAATTAGCATAACATACTCAAGGTTCATCCATGTTGTAGCATATGTTAGAGTCTTTTTAAAGCTGAATAATATTCTACTGCATGTACATATGACATTTTGCTTATCTATTTATCAGTTTATAGTCAGTTATTTTGCTCTTATGAATAATACTGCTATGAACACTGATGTACAAATATCTCTTCAAGATTACAATTTTTACTTCTTTCTTTCATTCAATTTTATCATCTAAAATAAGCATTTTTAAAAAACAAAGTTTCTATTTCTCAAGAGAAAGAATGAAAAAAAAAAAAAAACCTCAGGCCAAAAGTAGGAGACTACGTAGGAAAGGCTTATAAATTTGAATCACCAATACAGATAGTAGCTAGGAGCACCGGCACATGGCTGTTATCCCAGCAGCATGGGAGGCTGAAGCAGGAAGACTGTAAGTTTGAGGTCAGCCTTGACAACTTAGCAAGATTCTATCTCAAAAATTAACAAAGAGGGCTGGGGCTGTAGCTCAGTGGCAGAGCACTTACCTAGCATGTGTGAGGCACTGGGTTCAATCCTTAGCACCACATAAAAATAAACAAATAAAATAAAGGTGTTCTATCCATATACAACTATAAATTTTAAAAATAATTTAAAACAGTTAAAGAAATATATGAATATTATCTTTACTTTTAATTTTATAATTTTTTTAATTGTTGAAAAATATACATACATAAAATTTACCATCTTTGGTGTACAGTTAAGTAGTACAACTAACCTCTAGTACTCTTTTCATCTTGCACAACTGACAATTATTGAATAATAATTGTCCATGCCCCCTCCTCATATCCCCTAGGAAGCAACATTTTACTTTCTGTCCCTATGAATTTAGCTGCTCTAGGTACTTCATATAAGTAGACCCTTAATAGTTCTTTTTAATTAATTAATTAATTGATTTTTTTTAAAAGAGAGAGTGAGAGAGGGGAGAGAGAGAGAGAATTTTTTTAATATTTATTTTTTAGTTCTCGGCGGACACAACATCTTTGTTGGTATGTGGTGCTGAGGATCGAACCCGGGCCGCACGCATGCCAGGCGAGTGCACTACTGCTTGAGCCACATCCCCAGCCCAAATTAATTGATTTTTAATTTTGTTTTAGTTGTAGATGGACACAATGCCTTTATTTATTTATTTTTATGTGGTGCTGAGGATCGAACCCAGTGCTCACACATGCTTGGCAAGTCCTCTACCACTGAGCTTCCCCAGCCCCAGTACTTTTAATTTTTATTTTTTGGAGACTAGATAATTTCATTTAGCATGATGTCCTCAAGATTCATCCATGTTTTAGAATATGTTAGAATTTCTTTCCTTTTAAAGGCTGAACAAATTCCATTATGGATTATATGCCACATTTTTTTTTTTTAATTTAAAATATTTATTTATTTATTTTAGTATTTGGTGGACACAACATCTTTGTTTGTATGTGGTGCTGAGGATCGAACCCGGGCCGCACGAATGCCAGGCGAGCACGCTACCGCTTGAGCCACATCCCCAGCCCTATGCCACATTTTTTAAAAATCTGTTCATCCATCAATGGACACTGCTTGCTTTGCTATTGGCTATTGTGAATAGTACTGCTATGAACATACTTGTTCAAGACCCTGCTTCTTTTTTTCTTTTTATTGGTGCATTATAATTGTACATAAGTGGTATTTGTTGTTATTTATGCATACATGCACACATACAACAGTATAATTTGGTCAATTTCATTCYGCATTATCTCCCCTTTCTCTCAACTTCTGCTTCCCCCGGTCCCTTTCTATTCTACTGGTCTACCTATGCTTTTCATGAGACCCACCCACAACCTCTTTTCTTTTTTTTCTTTTACTTTTTTCTCTCTAGCTTTCACATATGAGAGAAAACTTACGACCCTTGGCTTTCTGAGTTTGGTTTAACACTTAACATAATGTTCTCAAGTTCCATCTATTTTCCTCCAAATGACATAATTCTGTTTCTTTATGGCTGAATAAAATTCCATTATGTGTGTATACTGCATTTTCTTTATCCATTCATTGGCTACAGACACCTGGGCTGGTTCCATAATTTGGCTATTGTGAATTGTGCTGCTATAAACATGGGCATGCATGTATTGGATAACGCAATGACTTCAGTTCCTTAGGATAAATACTGAGGAGTGGTATAGCTGGGTTATATGGTGGTTCCATTTATTATGACAGGTAATCTGCTGTACTCAGAGTCTACTGATTTAAATCATAATCTCATCTATATAAAAAAATTACCTGCACAATAACATTCCATTGTGTTTGACCAAATGTAGGTGAAATTACCTTAGGCTAGCCTAGTTGACACATAAGGTTAACTATCATAAAGTCCTTTGCCCTTTTTTTAGTCAGCATGTTTTTTTAAACTATTCACTATCATTACTTTTTTTTAAGTCAGTCATTTTTTGTATTAAGAGGTATGAGTTTTTTGTACAGCCTGGATATTAACCCCTTGTAAGATAGGTGATTTGCAGATATTGTCTCCTATTCCATAGCTTGCCTTCCACTCTGTAGATTGTGTCCTTTGATTCACAGAGTTGTTTTTTTTTTTTTTTTAATACTGATGAAGTTCCATAGGTCTATTTTTCTTTTCTACTATTGAGCATAGAGATTTTGTCCTGGGCTAGAGTCAATAGCTAGACTGTGGAAAATGTAGAGAAAGCAAAAGCCACCCTTTGGCTTACCTCATGGAAGGGTATCTCCAAGGTCTGGAGACGAAGGTCAACTTTGTGGTAGGTATCCAGGCAGGGCAAAAAGAAGAACAGGCCTAGAAGGTGGGGGGAAAGGAACAGGCAAACAGAAAGCACGGAGACTGTTTGGGATTCACCTTTTCATGTTCAGGTTGTACACTGCATTGCTTTTCTTAGCTTGCAACTATACACAGATCATTGGGAAATCCCACTAATATCCTACAGCATCATTGTCGAAGCTAAGTTTACCACCATCAATATGAGACACTTGAGGGTAAGTTTACCACCATCAATATGAGACACTTGAGGGTAAGTTTACCACCATCAATATGAGACAATTTACTCCAGGTTAACAGGTATAAGCAGGGATTTAGTCATGATGCTAACCCCTCCAGATCTCTAGTATGTCTGTCCCTTCACTAGATTTGAGCTCCCTAAGTAACATCACATACATTATTGTTAGCCTTAGTGTCTCTGACTTGGTGCCTTTTAGGTAATCTATAAAATTGTTTTTTAGTCTATGAGTGTATCCATATGTCAAACTTTGCAGCCAGCAACCTCCACATGGTATTTCTTAAAACGTGAGCCCCAAAGATAATCATAATAGCAATATCATAATACTAGCTTCTATTTGGCAAGTTAGTCTTCACCTATCCAATATAATATATAGTAAATAATGGGCAATAACTATCTGTAGATTGATTATTGAGATTTTATCAAGAACCCTGGATGTTGCAGGCTCTTGTAAGAGCCACAGTTTGTTGGAACCAAAAGCACTTCACAGAGCCCATGATCTATCTGGGGAGCCGACCTCCTGCTGTTCTTTCTTGGCCCCAATGGAGAAAGTTCCAGAAAACAAGGAACACAGCAAGATCATCCATGTCCTGGAACTACAGGATCTAATTCTGTTTTTGTGGGAACCCATCTACTGGATTGGGTTTTTCAAACTCTGATTGGTGTCTTTTAGTCTTGTCTCCAATCCCTACTTATTGCTGCAGACCAGGATGAGAACTCAGGCCTCTCCAATATATACACAGTGGGACTTTGCTCCTCCTCATGACTTCCAGGCTGTCTTGGACCTCCAAACCCTAATTACGACACTTTCCAGAATAACCATACTTCTCTCTATACCCCATAACCARCTTTGATTTCTGAACATAAATTCCACTAGACTTTAAAGCCCTAGAAATCAGAGACCATGTCTTACTCAGGCATTTTTGTATCCCTGGTAGTTAGCAGCATCTAAAATACAGGACTGGTTCAATCTCTGTCTCTTAAATTTCAACACTAAAGACCAATTTATTACATAGATGCCTCTCTTCCTTGCTTTAGGCCCCCTGGATTCTCAACTAGCTCAGCTTTTCTCTGAGAATTCACAGGACTCTGACTGTACACATGTAGTACTCAAACCAGTCTCCATTCATGGATCCTAAGCTGATTTCCTATTGTAATCAGAATGCCCTGATGTGGGACTCCMTGTATTCATCTTATCCCTTGGCCACCTGTCTCCTGGTAGTAGAAGTTCTTAATGATCTGCATTGCAACTAACAGATTAGAAATGCAGATGAATCAAGTTACTTCATTGTATCTAAAGTCATTATTATAAAAACATAAGAATTGAAATTGGCCAGTTGAGGGGTGGTGGAGATGGTGGTTTTAAAAAAAAGTGTGTGTATATGTTTCTTACCAGGGCCTTTGGGTCTTCCAGGAAGCAGATGTCCCAGTCGGAATATAATTACTCTCTCGTACTCTTGTACAATCTAAATGGAAATGTAATACTTCCAAATCACTCTAAATAAGAATAATAAAGCATTCAAAAGGCCTTAAAATGACAATGAAGAATAAACTTCTATTGATATTCAATGTTCTAAAATTTATACTTAGTGTGGAAAATTAGAAACCAATGAAAAAGTATATTGGCTATCTGAATTTTTGAGCCCAAGGATAGAAATTTGATTAAAAACTCATTATCATCTAAAAAGTAATGTTTCCACTATATTCAATGTTTCCTAAATCAAATATGATCAGAGCATGTTTAATCTTGTAGTTTTCTGTGACTTCTGCCTTATCAAGCTTTTATATGTATCACTCATTAACTGTTTAACAAAAAGATGGAGTATATTTTAATACCACTTGTGATACTTTGTTTCACAAATAACACAAAGTTGTGATACTTTACAATTTCTCTAAGGCTGATTCAAAATGATCCAATTGGATTTTAATTAGTTAATTCTCATGAATCTCAAAAAATTGAATGTACCCTGAGCATGTGTAGAAATATTTTTAAATGACAAAAAGGAGATTCACTGTGTAGAACAGAACATGAAAGTTACTGCATATTACTTTAAAAAAGATACTTTCTGTTCCAGTATCAGAATCTGAGTTCTGTTGCTTGTTTTTCATTAACTTAGTTGATGAGTTTGTTTATACATATACCTCACAAGACTCTGAATTCCTTGATGATACAGAATTGATTTTTTTCTGAGTGCCTAAAAAAATGCCTGATACATAGCAAGTATTCAGTGAATTTATTCATTTAGTAAGTGGATAAAGTAATGATTTGTGACTGTTGCCAAGTTTATTTTCCTTTGCTTATTGGAACAGTGAATGAGAATGAATGATTGGGTTTGGTTCCTAGAGCATACCCCAGCAATTCTCAGCTGCCTAGTTCCTACCATTACTTGTTTCTTTGTTGGAAAAAAAAAAATTCCTCCAGAGATTAAGGGAAACCTTGCTTCTTCAAGCCTTGCTCAAATGTAACTACTCAATGCTGCTTTTGTGTCCACTACCTAATTTAGACGGTTCCTAAGGTTTACCTTTGATGGTGCTGGGGCTTGAACTCAGGGCCTTGTGCTATGCAAGCACTCTACCAACTGAGCTGTATCTCCAGCCCTGCTAAGGTTTACCATCTTAACTAACTAAACCCAACARCCTTTTCCATAAACCATGGTTGAGTCAGTACTGGACCCTGTGATGATCATGTAGGTGCTCAGATCACACCTCAAGAAGAGCCTGCGGCCTTGCCTGGCCTGCCTGAAGCTTTGGGTTCAATTCTCACTCCAACAAAAAATGAAAAGTGAAAAGGAGAGCCTGCTGCCAACTGTATGCTGTCTCAAGGAGACACATTTTATAGTCAAAGACGTAGATAGAAAGTTTAAAAGTGTTAAAAGACAAGCCCAACTCTCATTGAAGGTTTCCCCTAAAGCCTGCTTTTGTTCTTTCTCAATCTCACCCAGGCAATACCTCCAAAAAATTCTTTGTACTTCTAATTTCATCTTGTCATGTGCTTCCTGAACTGACACAGATCTTCATTTGCTTCAGGGACTGGAGTTGTATGGGCCAACTGTGGGCCAGAGACAGTGGCCCCTCATGGTCTAGGGCAGCTGCTGAGAAGTTTCTGGCAGTGTAAGGAGCGCATGAGAGGATGTCATGACCTGTTCTGGGCTGGTCTTTGTGTTGGAGTGGGAATGAACCAGTGGAAACCCTTGAAGGGTCTCCATCTAATGGTAGAGTTGATCTCAGCAAGCATTATATGTGTGGTACGGGCTAGAATGAAGTGAAGGCCGAGTGATCAGGAGCACAGGGAAGGGAGCGACAGACTAGAGGAGTCGACGAGGCTTCATGGTAACATTTGAGCCAGGTCTTGAAAGAGGACCACCTTCTGGAGGGCAAGTGGGCATGAGGGCATGGCAGTGGACCAGCAGCAAGTTCTAAACACAGAGCATGACCCAATATGATCAGAAAGAGGCACCAGGAAATAAATGAACTGTTGGGTCCTCATGGAAACTCACCTTTATGCAAAACCAGATAGAAAAAGGGAATGTCAGGATGATGAAGAGCAGGGAGGCAAGGACAAGAAGCCACTCACAGGCCCCTAAACCAGAGGACTTGGTACCTAAAGAAAGAAAAAAATATTGAAACCTCACCATTTTAACTGACTAGCACTTGTCAGTCTAGTCCTTGGTATTGAGTCAGAGCAGCTTGGAGACATTGCTGGAAATATTGGAATGAACCAGACATCAGGGTGGTCAGAGTTCACAGGGCCTGGGGTCTGCATGGAAGGTGGTACAGGCTCCTGGAAAGGCACTGGGGTACCGGGGACCAGAGTACCATGGGTTCCCATTCTGGCTTTCTCATTTCATGTCCATAGATAATTTTATGCAGGACACAGGACCTCTTCAAATCTCAGTTTCCTTACCTGTACAATGGGAATGTTTGCTATATTGTAAATATTGCACAATAACTAGCTCATGAAATAGATTTCATATCTATTTCAGTGTAAGGGAGATATGAAATCTCACATAAAAACACTGAACTGTACTTTACGTGTGTCGGGTTTTAATATTCAAAGTGTCCAGAGTCTTACCTTCCATGAAATAACTTTCCTACTCACTACCTGCCCTAATGTCTGAAATGCCTTTGTTAGAGTTCCTTCATTGGACTGAGGTGATGCCGCCTGGTCCTTGAACATCCCCTGTGAACAATAAGGAAGGATGCAGAACATCCAGGATGCTTGAGTGGTAGTAAAGTGGCGTCAAGGAAAGKCGGCCTCAGGAATACAAGTTCTTCTGGTCCTGTCGTGTTTACATTGCATCTCCAGTGCCTGGAATAGTGCCTGACACAATGCAGGTGCTCAACCATTGTTGAATTAGGAAGGAAGGAGAAGTGGATAGTGAAAATGACTTAAATGTAATGTAAATCTGAGTTGTGGAAATCTAAAGAATTTTATTTTCCAGGTACTAGAACACTGGCCAAAAGGATACTATTTGCCAGTTTAAAAATCCCACAGAGAGGAGCTGGGGCTGGGGCTCAGTGGTAGAGGGCTCGCCTAGCACGTGTAAGGCACTGGCTTCGATCCTCAGCACCACATAAAAAAGTAAACAAATAAAATAAAGATATTGTGTCCATCTACAACTGAAAAAAAAAGTATGTTTAAAATAAATCCCACAGAGAACTAAAAGATGACTGAAAGTGAGCAAATGGTAAAAAGCCTATTTTTAAAGGATCAAAAGGAAATGGATACTTAATTGGTAGGTCTAAAAATTCAAATTCCACAGCTAGGCACAGTAGTGCATGCCTGTGGTCCCAGCTGCTCAGAAAGAGGCTGAGGCAGGAGGGTCACTTGAGCCTAGGAGTCTAGGCCAACCTGGGACCAGTTTCTTAAAAAAAAAAAAAAAAAGTTGTTTTTCTTGAAATTGAATTCCACGTCTGGAAAGGTCTTCACTGAGTTACTTAAAGAGGACACATGTGCAAGCTGCACCAGCACTAACGCCAAATCTGCCCTAGTGTGGCAATTCCCAAAGACCTTTCCATAAAATACCAGTCCCAGAGTGTGCTCCACAAGGAAAGAGTTTTTGGGCAAATGGATTTAGAAATATTGGGTACTGTATCCCATTCCTGGTATTCCCAATGTCCATCAACATCTGGAAGCTATGAGAATCCCTATAGTAAAAAATCATTCTTAGCTTTGTTTACTCTAGTGATTTCTAAACCTTTGACAAGGTAATGTTTTCTCCAAGGAACACTCATTGATGTTCTATGGAACTTATTTATCACCAACCCTACATTAGAAAATGCTGCTCTATAAACAGTGTTAATTTTTATATTCTTATTCTTCAATGGCAATGACTAATAGTCATTTTAGTTTATATTTGTATAAATGAATTTCAGTTTATAATTGTATTTCAGTTTCCAGTTGTCACAACTATCACAAGTAAAAATCAAGGCACATTTGAACAAAATTATGTTTTATAAGTGAAAAAAGTTCTCAAAAGTTCCTTCACTCAGTAGTTAGGAATGTGAATAGAAAACTAATTTGTATACTCAAAACTTTATCCACAAAATATTTTTCTCTTGGAATGAGTTGCTTGAACATCCAAATTGTTTGATTTAAGTGAATAAGGAAGCATTACATGTTAAAGCAGGAAGAGTCTTTAGACATATCCTGAGAATACCCAGTTGTGGTAAGGTGACACCCCTTTTCAATTCCCTCAAGTCCCAAGAAGTCTGCCTTTGGAGTGTGGTGCTAAGTCAGAAGAGAGAGGAATGCTGCGTCGTGTTCCCACAAACACCTCTCAGGCAAGGGCTGCCTCATCTTTAGTGGTCTTTCTCTCTCACTGCTTGGGATCTTCTGCTCTAGCCACTTTCTTATTGGTGAGACTAAGGCCCACAAAGGTGAATCAACCTGCTTAAAACCATAGCTAGTCGGTTTGAGTGCTGGGACATGATCAGAAACCAAGAGCAGGCTATGTGAAGGTGAGTACTTCAGCCAAAAGGCCTTATTCTAGAAGTCTAGCTGTTCCACTTCCCAGCTATTGGTGTGTGTGTGTGTGTGTTACTGGGGATTGAACTCAGGGCCTCATGAAGGCTAGGCAGTGGCTCTACTGCTGAGCTATATGCCCACTCCTTTTTATTTTGAGACAGGGTCTAGTTACATTGTCCAGGTTGGCCTCAAACATCTAATCCTTCTTCCTCAGCCTCACAAGTAGCTGGGATTACACATGCCACTGCCCCAGGCTCCAGCTATAGATTTTGGGCAAGATATTTAATTTCACAGAGCATGTTTCCTCAACTGTGCTAAGAGGATAATGAAGTACTAAATAAGTAAAGTAAAACACCCGGGTGTGCTTGGTACATAGAAAGGGCTCCATAAATGGGTGCTCCCTTCCTTGCCTACCCCTCTAATGATCTGCCACACAATATAAGATTACATGCTGGGCTGGGGTTGTGGCTCAGTGGTAGAGCGCTCACCTAGCATGTGTGAGGCCCTGGGTTCAATCCTCAGCACCACATAAAAATAAATAAACAAAATAAAGGTATTGCGTACAACTAAAAAATAAATATTAAAAAAAGATTACATACTATTCTTCATTTGCTTCCCTTTAAACATCTTTCATCCTACTGCTTAAGGTATAATGAATTTTTTTCCCATTCATTATGAAAAGGATTGGCGGTAGTTAAATTTGTTCCTAAGATTTGCTTTCTCTGCAGAAGGGAAAAGGAACACCTTTGTTTGCATTCCCTCCTTTGATTTGATGTTCCTCTCTTTTAGCTTGCAAGGATTCAGCTGAAACTGAGCATGTTCTTTGTTCTAGGCTTTGTGCAAAGTGTTTGGGAGCTTTTGCTCATTTTACCCTCACAGCTGCCTCTAAGGCAGGAATTGGGATTATCTGATCCATGGTGGAGGCCCTTCCTATGATCACGTGGCTAGCAAGCTGTGGAGCTGATTCAACTCAGGTCTGGCTCTTCTTTACTTGGCGATGCAAGTAGAGAAGGCAATGCCTTTCAGAAAGAATGATCATCCCAAAGAAAGTTTAAAATGCTTTTACATAAGACTGAGGGGAGGAAAATAAGCCATAGTTGCTCAGAGCCAAGGCTCAGATACGTTTTTATTTATATCAGGTGCCCATTTGCCCCTCTGTGACCACAAAAACCAACTTCATTGTTCCTTTGCCTGTCAATTGGTCCCCAACCTGGACCACACTCCCTCCAACTTCCCATCCCTTTCTGCCCCCTGAGATCAGCTGGTACCTGGATGATGTTGCTATTTTTATTTCTTCTGATGCACTATGGTCTCCATCTTTGGGGGGGGGTGCTGGGTTCCTAATGCACACCTTTCATTTCCTGGAAACCCCAGCCTTCAACAATCTGCTCTGGCTTTGATGGTTTTCACTGGGGTAACATTTCACCTTATCTGACATCCTTTGGGTACCACTTGGAAAGCCGGCTTTCCTCCCGGATGCCCGACCTGCACCTCAATACCTTCCTCCAGCCGCTCGCTCTCCAGCAGCGCCATCACCTCGGTGCCTTCTTCACCGGAGCCCCGGACCTCGTCCACGTCCACCACGGTGGCAGCGGGCGCTCGGGGTTCCTCTGGGTTCCCCGCCCGCCCGGGGCTCCGCCGCTCGGACCTGGCATCCCGCCGCCCGCGGCCGCCGCCCCTCTCGCCCTTTGCCCTCTTGCTCTCCTTGGGGGTGGGCCCGCCGCCTCGCCTGGGGCCCTCTCTGGAGGAGCTGCGTGCCCTCCTCTCCATCCTCACGTCGGCGGAGTGCTCGTGCGGCCGTGGCGGACGCCCCGAGAGCAAGCGCGGTCCTTCGGAGTCACCCCGGGAGTCGCTCGTGGAGTGGGTGGACTGGGCTGCCAGCGCTGGCCCTAAAGACACCCCGAGGGGTGGGCGGGGCGAGGGCCCTGGGGCGGGGCTCCGTCCATCTGGCACCCCGACAGCTGCTGCCCACCCCCAAGCCCTGGTGCCACGTTGACGCGATGGGGCCGCGGTGGCTCCAAGCCTGCGTCGCAGAGGAGGGTCTGAGCTGCAGAGATGCAGTCGCCGGCCCCTCCAAGCCCTCAGATTGCTGAAGGGCCGAGGGCGCTCTGCTTTGACTTGTGAAGACGGTATGAAACAGAGTTTGKGGTCCTAGGTAACGCTGGAGTTTCAGTCATCAAATTAGGGTGACTTTAAGGTAAAATTAGGCACTTCTCAAGTGCCTTCCTACTTTGAGAATTCACAGCGTGTGTGTCTGTCTCTGATTTCTCATTTTTCAGTACTGGGAATTGAACCCAGGGGCCTCTACCACTCACCTACGGCTCCAGCCCCCCTCCCCTTTTAAATTTTGCTAAGTCTCTGAGGCTGGCCTATAATTGCAATCCTTCCACCTCAGTTTCCCTAGCAGCTGGGATTACTGGTATGCGGCTCCAGGACTCATATCTCTCTTATTTATTTTTATTAATGCATAATCCTGTTGGTGATATAATGCTTCTTGAAACGCAGAAGGGAGGGGATCCGTTTTAATTTCTGTTTTGTAGGAGAGGGTCTCTTTTGTCTCTGTCTAGGCCCTATTTCCATGCTTCCTTGAAGTTCTGCTTTTCCAAGGTTTACTGGCCACACTGCTTTCAACAGGAAACAGGGGGGGCAGTTCCACCTGCTTTGGAGGAACTTGAAATATACAGGAGATTTATTTCTCTTTTACTCCATTAATTATTTGCTTCTCATGGGTGGGTGGCTGGTCTAAATAACCCTTCAAGCAAGATTTACTATTCTTCTCAAGTAGCTCAGATCCTATGCTAATAGAAATAATATTCATTTATTCTTATTTTTCAATTTTTTTTTGAGCTCACATAGTGATAACTTTTTCTTTCTCAAAAACATTGTTAAAGAATGAAGATCTAAAGTAAGTTAGACAGATCTGGAAAATCTATCCCACTACTTTCCTCCTCTGGTCCAAGTTAGGCTGTTGGGAATACAGTAATTAAATGTTTAGTAACAAAATAATTTAGGTTTTTGTTTTGTTTGTTTTACTCTCTGAATCTGATTATTACATGGACTACCTCTCAAGTGCTGATCTCAAATAATAGTTCTTGTCCAGATGCTACATTGAGAAAAACTCTGAGGCTACATTTGGCCCACAAAGGAAAAATGATTATAATTATTTAGTATTTCTCCAAGTTAATATTTGCTATTAAACATAGTTTCTTCATCATACTATAGAAATTTCACTATTCGGAAAAGCACGAATTTTGTTTTGTTTTGTTTTAATTTTTTGGCTGTGATGTAGATTGAACCCAGAGTCTCAGGTATACTAAGCAAATGCTCTACCACTGAGCTTCATCCCCAGCCCATGTAACAATATTTGTGKCACTTGTTGATTTTTTTCTTAGCCTTTGATTCTGTCACAAATAATTTGATCTAGACCTCTAGCTATAGACTCTTACACCAAAAATTGCACCTCAATTTTTAGTCAAGAATGAGCAGGGAAATGACCAAATGATAGTCTTCAAATAAGACAGAGAAACTTACAGGAGAAACTGTGAAAATGCGCCCTGCTAGGCACTTAGTGTCAGTCCTCTTTACTCCATGGACTTCTGACAAATTATATAATTATTGCTTCATTTTCTATATCCATATCTAGAGCAATGTAAGCACCTGCTCACAAGTTTGTTGGGATTATAAATAAACATGACAAATATCTGAGAAAAGGCATCACATTCCATGGTAAAAAGGCCAACATAGCATCTCTGGAAGGTGGAGGAGTTGGGAGGGAGTGCTGAGTCAGCCCATGTGCCCAGCAGACTGGCCTCCTCTGTCCTTATGGTCACACTGATGTTTTCTTTTAGCTTCCTTTTTAATTGGAAGTGTTGCTTATCCCTTTGCTGAAAATATTCTATGTGCACATTTTTCAACCCTTAATAATTTACTCCTTGTTTAGATGTGTTAAGAGATTGACATCTGTGGTACTAAAAGAAGGGGAGGACTAATTAACATTGTTGACTTAGGAGTTTGTTTCCAAGATGAAAGGTCAAGAAAGATTGCAATATTTTCTAAATCATTATACTTACCCCATTTCACTTTGAAATATTATGTCCATAATGATAAGCAAGGATGAATATTGATTTATTTGGATAATTTAATGAAAATACTAGAATTTGTTGGCATAGATAAAATTGCACTTATTATTTTAGAGCTGAAACCCATAAGGATTTGTTAAATTTGACTTTCTCAATCTATAGACAGAAGAGAGACCAACTAGGAGAGCAGAGTGATGGTCTAGGAAAGTGATGTTGCTGAGGGCCTGATGCAAGGTGCTAGCCCAGAAATGGTCTGGGTTTAGGACATCTCTCAGTAGAATGCATTTTGACACATCATACGTAAATTGAGTATAACTTCTCATTCATCTGGTATTACATAATGTAGAGTTACACAGGTCATGTAATCATATATACATATAAGGTAATAATGTCCAATTCATTCTACTATCATTCTTACCCCCATGCACCCTCCCCTCTCTTCCTCCCCTCTGTCTAGTCTAAAATACATTTATTATCCCCCCCGCCCTTATTGTGAATTAGCATCCACATATCAGAGAAAACATTCAGCCTTTGGTTGTTTGGGATTGGCTTATTTCACTTAGCATACTCCAGTTCCATCCATTAATGAGCAAATGCCATAATTTAATTCTTCTTTAAGGCTGAGTAATATTTCATTGTGTATATTTACCACAGTTTCTTTATCCATTCATCTGTTGAAGGGCATCTAGGTTGGTTCTATAGCTTAACTATTGTGAATTGAGCTGCCAGGAACATTGATATAGCCATTTCACTACAGTAATATGCTGATTTTTAAGTCCTTTTGGTATATGCCAAGAAATGGGATAACTAGGTCAAATAGTGATCCCATTCCAAATTTTCTAAAGAATCTCCTTATTGCTTTCCATAGTGGTAGCACCAATTTTTAGCAGGACCTCTCTCTAAGGGACAGAATAAACAGAATCATGGGGTTATGGAATGCAGCTCATGAGGGGATAGAGGGCTTGAGAAAGACTGAGGTTTTATCCTTAGACATAACTGCTGCTTCTTTGGCAGATCCATTTCCCCCTAACTAACCAACCCGCAGCATCCTAAATTCCTGCTCCCTTTTCCKGGAGAGGCAGGTATTGCATAAAGTGGTGAGATAAAACTTACTTGACTTTTCTCATTAATTCACCCTATAGTTACTTAGCAAACATTTTCTTCATGGTTAGCAATGCTCATTGCTGAGGTGTAGATGAAAGAAATTCTGCCTGCCCTCCAAGAACTCACAGGGAGAGACATATGTAAACAGTTAGGTGCAAGAATGTGTTGTCCACTTAGTGATAGAGAGGATGTATCAAGGTTTCTCTTATGGACATTTTGGGCTAGATGATTCACTGTTGTGGGGACCACCCTGTGCAGTGTAGCATCTTTAGCAGCATCCTTAGCCTCCCATTAGATGCCTGTAGCACCTCACAGCTACTAATGTATGACCACCAAAATTGTCTCCAGCCATTGCCATGTGTCTTGTGGGATCAAAATGGCTCCTGGTTGAGAACTTCTGATCTATACTGTACTGTGAATCCACAAAGGAAGAAATTGGTAGTTCTACCTGAATGGTTTCAGAGGAGGTCCAGTTTGGGTCATATTAAGAGATGTGGGGGTGACCCTGTACTTAACTTTGAGAGCTGGGCCTTCCAGTCAGAGGGATCAGAACAAAAGACAATACCAGGCAAATGGCTAGTGAATCAGTGGCTTGACAGATTGGTGAAAGAGAACGGTGGTAGGCAGTCCAAGAAATGAAAAGCTTTTTACACCACGTAAGAAATTTTGATTTTATCTTATARGCAAAAGAAGCCATTGAAGCATTTTAAGAAAGGAACAATATGGTTGGATTTGTAATTAATGAGTAATGTTGTGGACAAGGTGAAGTTGAATGGAAATGCAAGTGGAGCCAGAGAGACCAAAAAGAACATTCTTGTGGTAATCCGGATGAGAGGGAGGATGGGTTTAGAGGAAAAGGTGCTGACTTGTGGGACTGCAGTCAAAGTAACCGGTGAACAGGGCTAACATCCAACAGAGGGAATACAAGAGAGGTAAGGAATTTTGTTTAAGGGTAGGTGGGCACATAAATTCAGTTTTAGATGTACTGAGTAGCTAGCAGTGTCTACAGGATGTCTATCTGGAAACATTCAGTAGAGCACTAGATTTTTAGGTCTCTGAAGCTCAGATAGATGGTGTTTCTGTAGCCCAGATCCTAAACCTTTCACCAACTGCCAACTGAGGCTGTAGCATCTTCAGCTGGGAACAACACATGCAAAAGTGTCCCTGGCCAGCTGTGGCTCTGATATATCTCAATTTAAAATGTCTGTTCCTGCGGCTGGGGTTGTGGCTCAGCATGTGGGAGGTGCTAGGTTTGAACCTAAGCACCACATAAAAATAAATAAAATAAAGACATTGTGTCCAACTACAACTAAAAAAAAATGTGTGTTCCCATCACTAAAGATATATTTCCTATTCTTGGTGGCTTGTGTGACCCTGAGGATTCTATGTTGTCTCATCCATTTCAGTATTATGGAAGAGACAGAAAAAATATTCTTCCAATATTTTCCAATCCTAGAGTCTTTTCCCACCATGGCAAACATGTAAAATAATACTATTTAAATGGTATATTGGAGGAAACTTGAGGAGACTTAAGAGTATCTATATGGAAATTGATGAGAAAAAAATATATATATATATAAAATTTAT